ATTCGCCCAAGATTGGACTTGAAGGATGTGAGGAGAGGTAGATAGAAACTTCCCTACCAAACAATGTTGCCAGCGCGCGATTCCTTCGTCTTCAAGTTCAGCGGAAATGCGGAGACCTTCGTCTACAATCTCCGGTTCGACGTACACCAAGCGATTCTCTTCTGCAACTCCGAAGAGGTCTGCCCAAGATCTTCCTGATGTGTGCAAACTCGATTCCATTCCTTCCTTTTGTAGATCAACTTAATTCCAGTAGAAACGGTGGCACTACGCCGACGCCGGTGACCGTCACAGGGGTCGCGATAAGCGGAGAAACTGTTGTGAAGCTAACCGTCTAGAGAGAGAAAGGACTGTTCTCTTGTCTATAAAAAATATTTAGTTATCAATTTTATTTGAGTGGTTCTCTCAATTATATTGATGTCCTATTAATGTCACTGCATCCGCAGCAAAATATGAAGGATAACCCATGTCCTTATCTCTCGGTAAGCAAGATCCATGACCTGTATAATGGATCTAAATAGATGATGGGATATGGATTGAAGTACATGACAACATATGGCTTAGAAAGGGTTGGAACAACGTGTAAAGTGTAGAAGGGAAAGAAATAAAAGCAAGTAGCATAATTTTGAATTACCATCAGTAGAGCATCAAGTATTGGATTAATTGGTTTCACATAGACTTGAGGCATATAACCAAACTCATAGAATTCAATATGGGAAGCATATGCGTACAATAACTGCGTACAATAACTGGGTGACACAGACTTAGGAAATGAGGAGTTAAGGGAATGTGTTAGGATGATTATTTATTTGTAAGTAATCACCGTGGCTACCAAAATCTACACCATTGATTAACTTTATTTCAGTTTATTTTTAAATTAATGGTGAAGATAGAGTTAGGGTAATTTTGACAATAAAAAAGATATTGCACCTAATTTCTATCCTTTAAAAAATTGATATCTATATATTATATTCAAACCCTACCACAACCCATTCTCTATCGTTGTAAGCCCGTAACACCTCCATCAATTCCCTTCCTCTCGCTGCCGGCCGACCACCCTCTCCCACCAATATCGGCCACTCTCTCTCTCTCTCTCTCTCTCTGTGTGGGAAGGTTAAGATGGGGTGATGAACCCTCCCTCCCCTTGCACGACTCAAGGAGACGGCCGTGGTGGACGGCTGTGACGGGAAAAGGTGGGATAAATAAAAACTTTAGATCTGATTTTTTCGCATTGGTAGTGATTTTTTTCGCATTGGTAGTGATTTTTTATGTAGTGGTAGTGTTTTTCGCAATTGGTAGTGATTTTTTCGTAGTGGTAGTGTTTTTTGGAAAAAATCCCAAGTTACACATGTTTTTAAAAAAAATTCTCAAAATACACAAGTTATGAAAATAATTCCCAATCTACGTTAGTTTGGGCCATCACCGCTGTCGACGAAGACAGTGATTGCATCACCGCTATCGACGAAGACAGTGATTGCATCACCGCTATCGACGAAGACAGTGATTGCATCACTGCAGTACACGGCCGCGGTGAAGGCCTGACCTGCGTCGAAACTTTAAACAAACGTAACTTTGTGCTCGGTTATCCGATCGTAGAGAAATTTTTTTTGATTCCGCATAATTTTTCGAGATCTTGCAAGCCGCAAATTTCCGTAGGCGGTTTGGTCCCGCCTTCGTCTCGAAAATATGTCGTTTGCTACTTCGAACGAGCCTTTTTTCGATTTCGTCAAACTTTGAACGACCATAACTTTGTGCTCCACAATCCGAAAATCATGAATTTTTTTTTTGATTTCGCATAAATTTTTAAGGACTACAATATTTAGTAGGAGAGAATTTTCAAAAAATGAATTATTTATGGATATAAGGGATTTTGGGAATAACTTTACCTTCCTTTTCAGGAATCCAAGTACATTCCGAAAATATGTCTATGATAAAAATTGTAGTCCTTAAAAATTTATGCGAAATAAAAAAAAATCATGATTTTCGGATTGTGGAGCACAAAGTTATGGTCGTTCAAAGTTTGACGAAATCGAAAAAAGGCTCGTTCGGGGTAGCAAACGACATATTTTCGAGACGAAGGCGGGACCAAACCGCCTACGGTAATTTGCGGCTTGCAAGATCTCGAAAAATTATGCGGAATCAAAAAAAATTTCGCTACGATCGGATAACCGAGCACAAAGTTACGTTTGTTTAAAGTTTCGACGCAGGTCAATCCTTCACCGCGGCCGTGTACTGCAGTGATGCAATCACTGTCTTCGTTGACAGCAGTGATGCAATCACTGTCTTCGTTGACAACAGTGATGCAATCACTGTCTTCGTCGACAGCGGTGATGCAATCACTGTCTTCGTCGACAACAGTGATGCAATCACTGTCTTCGTCGACAGCGGTGATGGCCCAAACTAACGTAGATTGGGAATTATTTTCATAACGTTTGTATTTTGAATTTCTTTTTTAAAAACATGTGTAACTTGGGATTTTTTCCGTGTTTTTTCGCATTGATATTGTTTTTTCCGCACTGATGGTGATTTTTCCGTAGTTGTAGTGTTTTTTTCTCATTGGTATTGTTTTTTCCGCACTGGTATTGATTATCATGTAAGCGTATTGTTTTTTTTGTAAAATGGTAGTGTTCTTTTTCTATAGTGGTAGTGTTTTTCGCATTGGTATTTGATAGACCGTCATTTACACATGTTTTTAGCCTCATACTTGCACCGTTTGAGGTGTTGATCCTCGTGTTTTAGGCCGATTTCACGCTAGGTTGTGCTTGTTTGTGATATTTCAGGTCCTAGTACGTGAATGAAGGCTTAGGAGCGAGTTTGGGGTCGATTGGGCGAAGAACGGACGAATGGCGAGCTTTTTGGGGAGCTGCACGGGCAGACCATGGGGCTGCACGGCCGTGCAAAGTGCAACTCTGGCCGTGCACCTTGTGCCGAGGCCATGCACGGGCAGGCCCTGAAGCTTGCACGGCCGTGCACCTGGCCGTGCAAGATGTCTGAGTTCGAACTAAATGAAACGGCGCGTTTCAGGGTGCACGGCCAGAATGGTGTTGTGCACGGCCGTGCACCTGGCCGTGCAACTCGGGGAAACCGGTTTTAAAGCCTAATCCGAGCCAGAAGTGGGAGAATGGTGTTTTGAGAGCAAAAACAGAGCCCTAGAGAGAGAAAGTGCGAAGAACACATCCTAGAAGCTGTCTTAGAGCTGGATTTCATCGAATCGAGCTTGGAGATCGTCATAGGAGTGAAAATCATCGTCCCGGAGCAGATTATCCTCATCGTTATGAGTATGACTAATCCGATTCTTGTTTTCTCTTCTCTCTCTATGGAGTAGAACCCTTCTCTCACTTGGGTATGAAGAACCCTAGTTCCTTGTGTTAGGGATTTGATTGTAATGACTTGGGATGATATTACTGTTTGATTTTAATCGAATGATGCATGTTTATTGAATTGATTTGAGTCTGATCAGCTTTTCTCAATTTCTGCTGCAACCTGAGATAGATAGAATCTGATTAGGTTGTTAGAGCCTCTATACAAGCAGACAAAGAGCTAAGGATCTGAAGACACTCTCGAAGCACCGGCCCACCAATCGAGTCTTCTGAGACACCTTGACGGACTTGCTTGACGACCACTTCGGAATCACCTTCGACTATCACATGGGTCAAGGATCTTGAGGCCAAAAAGGAAATAGCATCCCTGAGCGCTAGCAGATCAGCCAGATAAGGGTTGACTATACCTTGATGCTGCAACCCGATCGCCAACAACACATGCCCGTCTGACCCGGGGATAACAAGCCCAGACGAACACCCGGAGGCACTGACGGCTGCGTCGACGTTGATCTTCAAAAAACCTTATGGAGGAGGGACCCAAGTGGTGGCAGGCATGATTGGTGGTAGAGCTATGCGGGGAGGAAGGGGGAAGCAGACTGGAGAATTCGAGGAGCTGGTTGTAGAACTGTCTGACTAGGGAACGTACATGAGGTTGGGTAAATTCAAAAGTCACTTCATTTCTAGACTTCCAGATTCTCCAAAGTAAACAAACGCATTGGAGAATGTGGAATGGGGAGGTCTCGGAGACCATGACATGACGCCACCATAGACTAAAGTTAACAGTCTGGGCGGTCTCAATAAAGTTGCTCAATCCCACTAAAGTCCACAATCTGATGGCTAGGGGGCATCTGAAGAATAAATGTTCAATACTTTCTCTATGTCTCCAGCAGACAGGGCATCGTTTAAGGCAGTTTACTCCACGAGATTGAAGGGCCACTACTGTTGGTAGTATGACTTTGAGGCATTGCCATATGAAGAACTTGAGTTTAGGCGGAACTTGGATATTCCAAGTCTTTTTCCAAATTGGAGGATCGATGATATGCACTATCGGTTTTCGACTTGATGTCAATGTTATTTCCAGAGTTAAGTGATAGCCCGAATTTACTGTGTATTTCCATCTTTGGAATAGTGTCACACTCTAATGTCCTGTTGTGAGTATCGAGGAAGAGGAATTTTCCTTATGAGATCAACCGATTGAGGTTCAAAGCAATTCTCGAGTTTTGAAACGTCCCATTCCCCTCGACCTTCTTTTATGAAATAAGATACCATAGGTGATCCATTTTGAATATGGGGCCGAGTATTTGAGGTTAAGGGTTTATCTTCCGGAACCCATTTATCAATGAATGCTCGGGTAATTAATAAAAAGGTAAGAAGGTAACGGAAAAAAGTGGCCCTCCCCCTACCGCCAATTACTCATTATTATTATTATTATTATTATTATTATTATTATTATTATTATTATTATTATTATTATTTACATTCTTACTCTCTATTTCTTTTTCTTATTTGAACCAAATACCGGATTATAACTGGTTTTTAATACCGGTTAAACAACGATTATTCGATAAATCTTGAACTTTCTACTAATCCAGATCGATGTATGGTTTGGTTTTCACAACACTGCAAAAAAGACTCTTTTATCCACCGTGTCATTGATGCCGGATGAGATGACCGGGAAAATGAATGAAAACATTTCCATTTTCCAGTTTGTATGGCTACCGTTCCAGGTTTCATAATTTCTACCATCTCTGGACTTCTTCTATAGCGACTGGTAAACATTTCCACTTTCCACCGCCGGTCGCCATCTCTGCTCTCCTTCCAGTTACAGCTCCATCTCTCTATCCCACTTCACCGCCGCCCGCCGGGTCATGGCTTCTCCGTCACTCGTTCGGCAACCGCCGCAAATCTCTTCCGCCTCCACCTACTGCGCTCCCACCATCTTCTCCGCTTGCTCGCCGACGAGCCGCTCAGTTCCATCTCCTTACAGAGATCGCCGACATCTGCCTCATCGCCCTTTCTACTGTAAAGCTTCATGGCAAGAGGTTTTCCCTCTCTCTATCTCTCTCCCCACGCCTTAATTGCAGGAACCCTTGTTTCCTAAACCCCTAATTCATCTTCGCGATTGAAAAAAGGTTGCCGGAGTGGTGGTGTTCTCGGCGATTCCGTTCACCGCCGTCAAAGCCATCGCCAATAGCTCGCTGGGGGAGACGCTTCGGTCAGGTATGGAGGAGAAGAAGAAAGCCGCGATCCAACAATCCTCCAAATTCCGTGATCTAACGGAAAAGGCCCGACGAGATAGCATTTGGTATGGAGAAGACCGTCCTCGCTGGCTGGGTACAATTCCCTACGACTATCCTGCTCATCTCGCCGGAGACCTGCCGGGCGATTATGGCTATGACGTTGCTTATCTCAGTAGAGACCCTACGGCTCTCCAGAGATACTTCAAGTAAGTGAAGTTATTATAACTCAGAACTTTGTTTGCCCTTTAGAAAACCCATGAAAAATCGAGGCTCTAAAAGCTCTGCAGCTTCGAGATACTGCATGCTCGATGGGCAATGTTAGGAGCTTTGGGCGCTGTTATCCCTGAAGTATTGGATTTAGGTGGCGCATTCCATTTTACAGAACCTGTCTGGTGGAAAGTTGGATATTCCAAGCTGCAGGTCTGCTATTGACCATTGTCATTCCTACCTTGAATGCTTTCATCATTCATTACAATGCTTCGTTTAACCAGAGTATGCATCTGACCTTTATAGTGATAATGGAACTTGAAATCAGGGAGATACGTTGGATTATCTGGGTATCCCAGGTCTCCACTTTGCTGGAAGCCAAGGAATACTTGTCATTGCTATCTGCCAAGTCCTCCTGATGGTGAATGAATGAACTCTTTTACGCCATTTCGAATTGATCTCATTTCCTTTCCCCCGGTAATTATCAGTACTAGTAACATGCTTGATCGAAAAGCGAGCAGGTTGGACCTGAGTATGCGAGATACTGCGGGATCGAGGCGTTGGAGCCCTTGGGAATCTACTTGCTGGGTGATGAGAACTACCCAGGAGGCTCATTGTTCGATCCACTGAACTTCGCAGGGGAGCCAGTGGCATTTGAAGAGCTGAAGGTGAAAGAGATCAAGAATGGACGACTGGCGATGGTTGCCTGGTTAGGGTTCTATGTTCAAGCGGCCGTGACAGGTAAAGGCCCTATTCAGAACCTCGTGGAGCATGTCTCCGATCCGTTTCACAACAATGTGCTTTCAGTTCTGAAGATTATGTAAGCGGTAGGGATATTAGCACCCTTAGCTTCCATGTTGTGCATAAAAGGAAGCAGGGTTGTTTTGCTCTGACATTCAAATTGTACAGCCTACAGTTCCTAAAGCTTTGATTCTGCATTTTATTCAAGGATGAAAGTTGTAGACAAGAGGCTAAAGTGGGTGACCTAAGGAAATGGAATTTGTGGTGGGAGATAGAAAAAAATTTGGATTACAATTTACATTAACGTTACTATTAAGAAGAAATGAAACCAAATTTGTAGTTCTAGGTGGGTGATCTGGGTTTACTGGAGAGACATTTTCCGCAGCTGATCAACTTCAGCAATGACTGCGGTCGTCTTCCCCTGACCTTCAAACGAGATAGCTGCAGTGCATTGTGTAAACATCAGTCAGCATCATTCACCAGCCAAAATCTTTTGTCGAACCTAAATTTAGAAGCCAGGATGTATTACCTTCCTACGCGTCACTTTCGTTGCTTTCCAGCAGAGCATGCTTCTTGATCGGGCCTCCAGCCTCCTGTCAAAATACCATGGAGAATTCAAAACCTGGCAAAATTCAGGGTCCTGAAAACAAATATGGTGTTTTAGTTAAGAGGCACTTACAAATTTTCTTGTTCAAGTTTTTCAGCTATAGAAACTGCTTTGCGTCTCGACCATGCATTCGGCTGATTACATCCTTCCACCTGCTGCTGAATCACATGAGCCAAGGAGACCTTGCTTCTCACAAGGCTTCTACTCTGACTTAGTTCCCCTACTCTACGTGGAACAGCTGGCTTATGCTGTTGTAAATCTGCATGTTTAGGGGAAGGTAGCACTTCAACGATCTCGTCGTCTCTCCCTGCATTGCCAAACTGTTCTTCTGGCCTCGAAGCCGTTCTCCTGCCATCTCTAGCTACTACCACCTGTGAAGTTGACGAACCATTCTTGGTGGTGGGTAACACGAGTGGCGTGTGGGGCCTACCACTTTTGCATGGTTCTGTTCTGATTTCGATCGTCACTGGTGAACCAAGAACCGATTCAAATGCTTGTAGAATGTATGTGCTGAACTTCTCTGCCTTGGATTTTGTCAGCTGTGAGCTGAACAGCAGCTGCACGGTTGGAGCTGCAAATGAAAAAAAAACAGAGATGGAGTTGGGATGGTTAGCTGCTGCAGGCAACAAACATAAAGCAGCAGATTTGGTCGAGATAGTGGAAAATCACATTCTGGTAGCGATCTTTTCAATATCAACCCTTCAAATCCCTTCCCAGCCTATTGCACATGTACATGATGTTCTGCTGAGGTTATGACTTATGACACAAGAAAAGGATTTCCAATAATTATTGTAGTAGCAAAACAGACAAATGTAAAGTGGATGAGCATAGATATGAAATTGATCCAACAATGTTCCACTCCTATGGTAAATCAGAGAGCAGTATATTCCAACGTAATATACTAATTAAGTAGTAGTACCTGCACCGAAGCTTACAGAAATCAGTGTCCCTTCATGGTACAAGAAGTCCCTTATACCCTTGATCTGAATGTTCTCAAGCACCTCAATCCAAATTTCTTCATATCCCACGTGACTTTTCCCTGGGATCTGCCTTCTCATATCCATGTTGGCGCCATTTTTCAATCTGTTCCCGTGCTGATCAATGGAAGTCCTACCAGGGAGATCTTTTTCTAATCTAGTAGGATGTTGTGAAGGCAGGTTTCTCGCGTTGTGGGGCGCCGCATCTGCGTGCTGTCCGACAACCGTTCTGGTGGTCGTATCCCTTCCGTCGGGCAGGGGGCTGTGATTGAAACTGGGCTCTGTTGAAGAACTAGGCAACAGGTATTGCTGATCAGGTGCAAGTTGAAGCAGTGCTGCTGTTAGCCATGTCAGTTTGTCATTAGACATCCTAAGTTGCTTTTCAGCCTCGGATAATGTTTTCAATGCTTGTCGAAGTTTCTCCATTTCTTCCTTCGACACTGGGAATCAGAATACAAGTTTTCACTCAATCAACTTTTGAAGTGAGAACCATATTTGACTATAGCAAGCAAGTTGCAGAAGTTAAAACAAACACAACCCAAGTATTTGGCCAATCCTAGGTAAGTCTCATTTGTTAAGGAGACGGATGAATCAAACAAGAGGCAGAAAATTTAGTAGCAACACAACACATGATTGGAACTTACTTGGTTGTCGCTTGAAAAACTTCCGCCTGTGCCTCTCTCTTGTGAAATCATATGTTCCTGCTAATATATCAGTGATAACAGTAGCAAGCTGCGACATTAAAGCTAAAGGCTCTACGCCTGTCTCCATTATGACCCTTAAGTTCTTCACAGTGTTTACTGTGTCAGCAGATAATGCCAGGTCAAGAAGATCCACCAATTTTTCATCCGATATTAGCCCAACCTGTCAAGAAACAATTGAATTCTTAGAATACATACAAATGTCAGCAGGCTGCAGAATGACTATTGCGTGCTACAAAAATTTGGTTAAAGCACTTACCAGCTCCTGAACTAGAGGCACAGAGACCTTCTGCCCGAGCAGACTAAGTTGCTCGAGGGTCATCTCAGCATCTCTCAGCGATCCATCGGACCGGGAGGCAATCAGTTTCAAAGCATCCTTATCAATGTCTATATCTTCTCTGGAAGCGATCCATTGTAAAGAATGGATAATGTCTGCATCCTTCAACTTTGGGAAGAAGAACTTCTGGCACCTCGATATAATGATATGAGGCAAAACATCAAGACTCGAACTAACAAGGATGAAAACCACACGCCTCGGAGCTCGATCGACAACCTTTGATATCGCACTCCAGCACTCGGGTGACAAAGTATCACAATCATCAAAGATGAAAACCCTGTACTGAGATGGCAACTGGGAAATTATCATATTCTCAAGAAGATCGACGAAGCTTTCAAAGTCAAAATTAGGACCAACTTCTCTAATATTCTTGTTCTTGCCCATGTCATGTGCAGCGCAAGAGTTACAGTGTCCACAAGGCTTGGGGCGTTCCATCGACTGACAATTTAGAGCCCTAGCAAAGATTCGGGCACAAGAAGTCTTGCCAGTGCCATGAGGTCCATAAAATACATATAGAAGTCCAACCTTCCTTTTCAAGACTGCATTAGCAAGAGCCTGCGAGACCAGATTTTGTCCTACAAGGTCTCTAAAGCTTCTAGGTGTGTACTTCTGGGTCAGATTCTGATGCCTTCGGTTGTGATTCCGACCCTGATGATTGCCTTGACGATCACCCGATCTAGCTTCAGAGGCAAGATCAGAATCAAGATCATTTCTCAGCAAATTATCAGCATATAGACCAAGCTCACCAGAATAGTCATGTATCCAACCAGCATTGTTGTCACTCGAACCAGCAGAGGGTTCGGCCAATAGAGGCAGTGCCTCGGAACCTGACCTAGAAGCCGCTGAACTTGATTGACCAGATGCCATTGGCATATCCCTCTCTTGAGAGCCTTGCCTCAACCTTGACTCGGACCGACCACAAGCCAGACTCTTTCCAGCCCTGTCGAGAAATGTTTTTCCCCTATCATGAATCCTTGACCAATTCCATGGAATACCACATCCATTTCTTGGACCATGTGTGACATTCTGATCTCCATATTCTTCTCTTTCTTGAGCTTGTAGTGAATTAGAAGCAGCAGCAGACATTTCTTTTTGATGATGACCTCCTACAGTGTCTCTAGACGGTGGACCACGACTTCCTCTTCCCCTGGCAGCCCTAAACTTACGCCGCTTTACCCGATTAGCTCCACTAAGTCTGCCATTATGATGAATGTTGGAAGAAGATGCTGCTACATCACTATCAATAGCAGCAACCTCCTTCAGCTGCTGAGAAAGAGTCTTGATATGTTCATCATCCACACTATTTTTGGACTTCTGCTGCCTACTTCCCCCATCTCTAGATCCTGAACTAACAGGAACCGTATCATGAAACAATAAACCATTCACAGCATCAGCTCTACTACCACTCTTTCTAGTACTAGATTCTTCCCTCCTAACTCTCCCACTACCCTCCATCATCCCGCTCTTACTACAACGATCACTTACAGGAACAACCTTCGACGGTTGATGACTGGAAAATTGAGGTGAGCCACCAGACAGCCTCCTGCTGCTGCTCTCTCTTCTACCAACAGAAGACCTTCTGCCCTCTTGTATATGGAGATTACTATCCTCCTCGTCATGATCACCTTTCTTGGGCAGCAGATCGACAACCGTGGGCGACTGCCACGACAAAGGAGGGCTAGCAGAAGGGTCGCGAAGCGAACGGGACCTCTGGAGCGCAATGAGGTCTCTCATTAGGGACCTGTCGTTGAGTATGGGGCTCTGCTTGTGCATGTGGTTCTTGAGGTGGATGCAGTTGGTCAAGTGGATGTGGTTGCGGAGATGGTCGCTGATGTCGCCATTTGCATCCTTGAGAATCCTCCTGCTACTACTACTTGGGACGGGTTTGGTCATGATCAAAACATCAATGCATATATAATAACAACAAAATCTCTTCAACTAAACCAATCAAGTTGTTGAGCATCTTCTTCCTTTTCCCCGCCCAGAACTTTCCACGGTAAGGACCCGCTAACTAATCGGCGGAATCGCAGTGGATTGGCCGGAATTCAAGAAATCAAAGATCCTCCTTTCCCGTCAATAGAAAACGAGGCATGTCATCAATCAATCAATTAATAGTTTCCTTTGATAGCATACCCAAATTCTCAGGGAGTATTTGCTCAGAAGAGTAACTACGGCAAGCTAAGAAAGACGCCTTTCATTTATGGCAACAGAGGAAAGAAAGAACAAAATCCCCTTCCCCTCGTACCTTGAAACCGTAGAGAACCCAGCTCTTTCATTTCTGGGTCAGCAGCTGAGCTCCAATGCATGAGTTCAGAAAAGGTCAGTTAGCTCGAACCAGCTTCAGTTCTACACAGGCGAAACCTTGGATCTTGTTTAGAAGAAAGGCCAAAGCTATCGACAAAATTGAAATGGCGAGAGAGTGAAGCGGGAGGATTGGGCAGAAAGTGGGATAGAAAAAGGAGCGAACTTTACATGAAAATGTGGGACTAAGAAACAGAGGAAGGAAGAAGAAGAAAGGGTGGCCTCGCGTCCCACCTGAAAGATCCCCCTCGAGAAAGGGAGAAAGAAGGAAGCTTGAACTGGCGGCCCCGTTTCATTCATTAAGACCACCAAAGATTAGGAGAGATCTCTACTGCTAGTTCTCATCCTCCCCTGCTGTCGGCCTCTGAGACCACAATTTAAAGGCCACAACCTAAAACCTGCCAACCAGCCAGCTTAACTTTCTCACATGCAATTCACGAGCAGTTTCTTTCCACGGAAAATGATGGCTAGCAGTAACACCATCCCACCTCTACCTAAACCCTCAACCCCAAAAAACCAGTCGCTGTTACAGTAGGTGATAGAGAGGAATAATCAATCGAAAAAGTGACTAGAGCCTTAGCCCACATAGCGAAACAGAGAGTGTGGTTTTCAGAGTGTGGAAAAAGAAACAGAGTAAGCTCAAGCTGAGATCTAATTAAGAGAGAGAGAGGGAGGCTGCTGTGGAAACAGGACACAGGCCAATAAAGCGGTGTGTCCGTTTGCTTGAACGTGCATTTGCAGGGAAGAAATTATTTATAAATAAAGGGATTTTATGGTTTTATTGTTTTTAAAATTTGGTCCAATTGAACTCCTTTCTCCATCCTTGCAATATTTTTCAAAGAAGTGAGATATTGGGGAGAAAAATGGGACCAGAGCTGAAAATGAAAGGGGGAAGAAGAAATAGTTCCGTTCGTCACCTCCTCTGTTTGCCAGAGGCAGAGCTAGCCGTTTTGCTGTATATAGTGGGGGGGAAGGGGAATGGAGGGACCCTTTGCTTTCTCAGCTTACTTCATTCTCCAAACCCAGGTGGTGAAATACTGAAATGGCCAAACCAGAAGAAACAAGAGAGGTTTCATGTTTATGGATAGAGTTCCTCCCCCTGCCTTCATAAATTGCAGCTCAAGCTTCATTTCCTTTTGCTAAAATTGTTTGAAAACACTGAACAGAATAGATCCAAATCTCTGGGGGATTTAAAAAAAAAAAAGATCAACCACCAGAGAGTCCCGGACTGGTGGCGAGTAAGAAAAGTGGAAAAGAAGGAATCTCTGGCGAAGTTTTTCAGCTTTTGTTGGTAAAGAAAATTTGTCCTCACGCTGTGTCCATATGCGGACAAAAAAAGCATCAATTGTCTTCACAGTGGTTGGAGGCTGCCGGAGGGAGAAACGGTTACACCGCCACCGGGGTTGCCGCGGTAAAAGTACATTACTTGCTCGCCGGGAAATGGGGGGTGAAAGTGTGAAGGTAAAAAGAAGGCCTAATACCAGAAAAGGGCCCATAGTTTAGGGTTTGGGTCACTTGTACCCCTAAGTTTTTACCGTGTCACTTATGTCCCAAAGTTTATAGTGCTCATGTCAATTTTGTCCTCCCTCATTTAGTTGACTGTTAGATTTGACGGTCAACCTAACGGCGGTCAACATTTCGTTGACTTTGTGCCAACATATCTGCCATGTCATTGACACATAAGAAAATAATATTTTTTTAAATTTAATTAAAAATAAAAAATAAAAAATTCAGCTACTCCGCATTTTTTTTTTCTAGCCCAAATTAATAAATTCCAAATTTCAGCTACTCAGCAGCAACCCAGATTTCCCAGCCTTGGATTTCTCCTCTTCTTCCCTCAAAATTGCAGCTTTCGATTCATTCTCTTCCACTTTCTCCACTTTCTTCTTCTTCTTGCTACTACTACTGCTGCTCTTCTTCTTCTCCCCGGAACCAGGAAGACTCTGTTTCACCGTCGCCTTGCCGTTGCTTTCCGTGCCGCCGGGCAGGACATCGAAGCTGGAGCTCGACCGGCGGTTGGTGGAGTTGAGCCTGGGAGAGATTTGGAGGACATCGACCACCGGGTAGCTCCACCAATCGTCCACCCTCCTAAACGCCCTGATTCCTCCCCTGTTTCTACAAGCTGCCTCTAGAGGCGAGGCGGCTGAACACTGCGGGTCGGGCCATGAGCAGGGGAGGTAGCCGAATCTAGATTTCTGGGTAGAAGCTCGAAGCTCGAATCGGGAATGGGAAAATTGAAGATCGAAGGTCGAATCTCGTTCGTCGTCGATTCGAGCTCCGACTCCCTATTTCTCGTTCGCCGTCAATTCAAACATGCACGATGGGGAAATCGAGATGAGTAGAATTGGGTCGGATGGGGAAGAGGATGGGTTTGGAATTAAAATATGGGTCTGGGATTCACATGGAAGATGGGGAAAACCAATTTGAGTACCGGATCTGGAATCCAGTTTTGGTATGAGGTTCAATTGAATATGCTTCCATGGATTCCTTGTTTTTAGGTTTTCGTCTAAGGAAGACGATGGTACGAACATGAAGGAATGGGGGCAAAATACAAAATCCTATTTTGGAATTTTTATTTTATCAAATTTTTATTAAAGTATATAATTTTATTTTTAAGTATTAATTATTATTTACTTTATATTAGATGGTGTGGCAAAAAAAATCCACATCATATGCCACATCATCGGTAAAAATTTTGACTGTTGACTACTAACGGTCAAAGTTAACGGAAATTAAACTTTGGGACATAAGTGACACGGTAAAAACTTAGGGGTACAAGTGACCCAAACCCTAAACTATGGGCTCTTTTTTGGTATTAGGCCTAAAAAGAAATACAAAACAATGGTGACGACGGGGGAAAAGGAGAGAGGTAACAGTGAGTCACGTGCGAGGATCAGAGGGAGAGATGATGATGATGATGATAATGAAATGAAGCGACACCCACGCCGGCCCGGCCGTGACGTACTTCCATTTGTTTCGCTACCTTTTCTCGATCCGATTCTGAATCTGATGATGACGATTTCTCTGTTTATTATTCTATAGGTGTTTCATTGCCATAGTGATTATATCAATTTGGTAATAAATAACGCCAACCGATATTAGAGGCTAATTGTAAATAGGTTTTTGTTTGTCGTTATTATGAAATTTGGTAGAGCAACGAGAACAGGGAAACCAGTCAATGTCTGAAGAAGGAAGTGGGGGAAAAAGAAGAAATAGGCAAGTAATTATGATAATTAATGATGATTTCGCCCCAGAAAAGGGATAATTAAATCTAATAGGGTTTTACTTTAATAAGGGGAGAGTCAGAAAGCAGTCATATTTTAGGACAGCTGAGCAGTCAGAGTATCCTAGGACTGTAAAAAGAAATAGAATAATGTTAGAAAAGTGAAGGGTGTGAAATGAAGTGATTGATTCAATGGATTGGATTGGATGGGACACCTTGGCTGTCTCTGATCGTTTAACTAATACCTGGATAATTAACTTATTTGATAATCTCCTAGCTAGGAACATACAATTTCTTTCTTTGGACCAAGTAAGTAGTAACTGATATAAGCAATTTGTGGAAATGTTGGAATAGCATGCACCAGCCCTCTTCATTGCCCTAGAATGAAGGGGAGATTGTGGAGTTCTTGATTTGTGATCATAAAATTTTTAGTTATGATTCTGATGCGATAGAAACTCAAATACTAAATTCACACATCAAGGGATCCATATGGTGGTGTCTCATCTATTAACTCAATGATCTTACCATCCTTTGAAGTAGAAACGAGATTTCGTAGAAGAGAGAAGAAGATACTAGCAAGTTGTGTTTGTCAAAGACCATAGCAACTCCTTACCTCCCTTTCTTCGCCCCCTCTGTTTGGGTCTCACGGACAACTTACAGTTTGATATCTAACCTTAATAGATGTTACGATTTAGTATCTAAAATTATTTTTTATATAATTTCTAAAAATATTTATAAAGAAAATTATATTTAGTACCAAAAAGTCTTTTGCTTTACATTTTGATACCTAAACTTTTTAAAATTTACAAACATGTCCAAGCTTATAAGATTTATGGTCTGCTTTAAGAAACTTGTGGTATGCTTTAATAATTTTTTGGTATGATATATGAATTTTTTTTGTGGTGAGGTTTTGATATGCTTTATAAGCTTTCGGGTATGTTTTATGGTATTTGTGGTGTGGTTTATGAATTTTGTGGTCTGAGGAGGTTCATGTATGCTTTATAACCTTTCTGGTATGATATACGAGTTTTATGGTATTGATGGAAAAGTATATTTTAGTTCTAAAAATTTATGATTTATGAGTTTTTTTGGTATATTTTAGAGAATTTGGGGTTTGCTTAAAGAACTTTGTGGTTCCATATGCAAATTACAAGTTGATACCTAAACTTAAAAGATTTAAAGATTTAGTACCTAACATTAGGGCTGCAAAGGAGCCGGGAAAAACTCGTTTGAAACTCGACTCGTTTACTAACGAGCCGAGCTTGAGCTAAGCCTTTTGCAGCTCGCGAGCTAGCTTGACTCAGTGAGCTAGCCACAATGTTGAACTCATGAGCTAGCTCGTTTAGACATTAGAGCTTATGATATGTCTCAATTCTCAACATTGTGGCTAGAGAGTCAACTCGATAACCGACTTATGAGCGAATCGATCTATATGAATTTGATTTTTTTTAAACCATATATGAATTTGATCTTGATAATTCATAGTATTATTAAATTATATATCTCACCCTATATGAAGTATATAACACGAGATTAGTTAATATTAAACACTTGACTATTATTATTTTCAATCTTGACATTAATGATTAATCACATGTATCATACATAATATACAAAATGAATATATCACATACGAGTCAAGATTTTAGTAACCAAGCTAGCTCGAACTCGACTCGGCTCGTTAATAAAAAAATCTGAGCTCAAATTGAGGTAAAACATGGCTCGACTCGGCTCATTTGCAGCCCTACTAACAGTAACTTTTTTGCATATATCCTAAAAATATTGATGATAATTATATTTTAGTACCTAAAATTTTTATGACTTACATTTTGATACCTTAACTTTTTAAAATTTTACAAAGAGGTTCACAATCATGTGTCCTATAATTTCTTATAATGAAAAATATGCTACTCCTTTTATAATTGTGGTTAACCCCTTGGAATAAAAAAAAGTCATCTAAATAAAATGTTCTTATTGAATGAAATTAGTATTAAAATGGTGCTAACAAAAAAATGTATTTACGCCCTAACTTCTACCACAATCTCATCTTCACAAATTAGATCTAATCGTTCACAACCGATTCGATTTACATACATATACATATATGTATATATGTTCAACTCAAATTCTAGTACCACCACCTATATTATACAAAGTTAACCGGACTTGTAATAACCATAGTGAAGGCACTAGCTAGTACTGAACCAGCCATGTGTTGAAAGTGAGCCTAGTGGGTATGTAATGTAGGGGGAAAGAATAAGGATAGGGAGTGTTGCTGGGTTGCCAGGGTTGGTATCAATCAGTCAAATGGAATGGCATTCTGCCCATATATAATTGTCCCATCCCAACTCCAATGTCGCCGCCTCCCTCCATCGACTCTATTCGCTCACAATAATAATGCATCATCTGGACGTTGTTTGCTTGTCTCCCTCCCAGCTAGCTA